CTCCAAGATGCCTTCTTGTTGAGTGAAAGACCTACCTTCTTGTTCATTTTCGTGCATCTTCCTTGAGTCAGACTTAAGGGACTGTGTTGAGCTCCAAGAGCATCTCCATTCTGAGTTTCGAGCCTTGGTATGTTGTACCAACCTTTAACTTGAGTTTTAAGGCTTAAAAATGGTACCTTGAAGCATCTAATGACTAAAAGATGATAACTTGTTGTTGGGTAATGTTGAACACGCCTAGAAATGCATGATTATATGTTTAAAATCGGTAAAAAGGGAACCTTTAAGGGATATCTTCACGAAAATGCAGAAACTGCATTCTTTCGTGAAATATCCGGATATTTGTCGAACAGATATCCGGATATTGGATATCCAGATATGTGGTTTTGGGATATCCGGATATTGGATATTCGGATATGTGAATCTGTATATCCGGATATTGCATATCCAGATATGGACAGTGAGATATCCGGATATTGCATATCCGGATATGGTCCCGAGGAATATCCGGATATTCTGGGATTTCATAGAACAGTAGCTGTGTTGAGTGTACAGTAGGCTATTGGGGGATTATGGACCCTAGATTGATGAAGTTGAACTTCTGCATTTAATGGACTAAGCCAGAATCATGGGATTAAGGGCTTGTGGCTTTGTTGGAAGCTTTAAGACTTGAAAACGTAATGAAAAGGCGTTGTCTTTAATTTGTATGCATGTGGTACATGTTTATTGATTTATATTTGGTCCATATCAGATTGTGATCTGCTGTGATTGGACTTTGATCTTGTGGCATTGGATAGCTAGCTTAGAGGTAAGCTTTAAGACTTGAAAACGTAATGAAAAGGCGTTGTCTTTAATTTGTATGCATGTGGTACATGTTTATTGATTTATATTTGGTCCATATCAGATTGTGATCTGCTGTGATTGGACTTTGATCTTGTGGCATTGGATAGCTAGCTTAGAGGTAAGCTTTCGTGTCCTCGGTTTAGCCATGTTGTGGTTCCACCATGTCCCATGGGGATATGGTATATGCATGTTGTGTTACATGCTTTTGATGTTTTGGAAATGCTGTTGAGCTATTGTATGTTAGTGCCTTGTTGATATGCATGGAGGTGTTCCACCTATACGGTAAGCCTAAGTATGTAGAACATACAAGAGGGTGAGGCTGTGGGTTTGGTGCAAGCGGTGTTCCTTGTACTACATGTAGGGAATAGACGTATTCCTACATTTCTCTGGCCAGTAGATAGTGATTACACACATGCCATAGATATCTGTTGCACTACATAGTTTTGGAACTGATAATGATATAAATGCTTTTAGAACTTATATTGCACATGTAAGTGAGCTTGGGGTGGAAGATCCTTGAGGACCCCTTGTCTTACTGAGATTTCTAGTTTAGAGATCTCACCCCACGTTTGGGGAATTCTTATTTCAGGGTCAAGTAATGTTGAGACCTCAGGCGGCAAGAGGCCGGAGCTGAGTTAGATTGCTGTTATATTATGCTGCCATGATTGGATGCTGGATTTGCATGTTGTTTATATGCTTATAGCTTCAGTTATGTTTATGGAGTTTTATGCTGAGACTCGTTGTTTACTATGTTTATTTGGTGAGCATGGGGATTGTCCATGACACATAGTATTGTTATGTCTTGATTATGTCTTGAGTCTTTTGGAGTTGTAATAATGTATCAGGATATTGTCCGGATTACTTGATGCAATGCCGTGATTTAGATACACACTTTATCTATATATATTGAGGTATTTCAGTAGATGTTTTATTGCAATTTACATACAGACGTTATTTTGTGAAATTGATTAAGTAATCAAGTTGGTAATGGATAATGACGTCATAATTGAAAAGAAAAAGAATATTCCGTATTTTTAATTAAGCACCGCTTAATACGATGTAATGTTAATATTCCGGGTATACACGGGGTGTTACAACATTTGTCTTTCATGACCAGAAATTGCGACGCATTGATGAAATGACTTTTACTCCCTCAAAAAGCAAAACATATATTTAATTAAATTACCGAATAAGTAATTAAAATTTATAATTTTACGAATAAGTAATTTTGTAAATTTTAAATTTTTATTACCCAAAACTATAAAGTGAAAGCGCACATGTTCTGACCATCAATTTTAAATTTTAAATGACTTCTATCTTAATGACGTTTGTCCTATGTATCTTAATTCCATCCTGCAATTCGAATACGGCACTGTCATTTCCGCACACTGAGTTTTTTTGATCTCGCGGACTTTTCTTTTCTATTTTTTTGGTATATTTGGGAGTATCTCTCTTTTCTCTTCACTTTTCCGTTGAAGCACGTCTATATACATATAAAGGAGAGTTTAAAAAGTTCTTAATTTATCTTCTCTTTTCTCTTAATCAAAAGTTCTTCCAAGCAAGTTGGGCGCTGTCATGAATAAACATCAATCAGATTTCCAAACTCCCCAAAATAAGAGAAGAAGGACGGACCATTTAAAAAATATTCTGAGTGATTCTTCGACCTCAGGCTGTCGTGTGTTGTCTCCCTTTACTGGTAAGTGTGAAACGCTATCCTTCGACCTGTTCATGGTTCGTATGTTTATTTTCTGTTACAAAAGTTTCTTTGTTGTTCATTTCTTTTTACAATGCTTACTATGAACATAAGTTGCACTTCTTTTTTACTCCTTTCACTATGAACATAAGCTGCTTTTTTTTTTCAGTCACTATAAATAAATATATTTCTTCGTATGCAGACTTTGATAAGTTGCTTTTGTTTGTCATATTGTAGAGAATCTATCTTCTTTGTTGATTTCCTTTAGTTGTTATGCCTATTTTTCTGCTAATTTTTTATTGTTATGCAGATTCAGTATTCGAGGCACAATCAGTATATTATTCCTTGTCATTTTTCAGAGTCAAAGGTTTTTCATTGTAATTCTGAATTATTCATCTGCCTAAACTATATAATTCCCTTCAATAATTTTTTCTTTTCCAAATATTGTTTATATATTGTTTATGATTCATTTCGAACAGCAGCAAATACTAATAGTGCATGGCGGACGATATTTTACAACTGTTGTGAGTATCGGTTGGGCATATTTCTTATTATATTGCTGTCAACATGACATTTATATTTTTTTATTGGAGATTTTGTTGTCAACCATGGAATTTACTGTGTTTAAATTATTATATTCTTTTTTTTGTTCCTACCTTAAAAGTTACACGTTTATGTCATACGAACAAATCGATTTTCTTATTAATTCGTTTACGGGACAAACAAACCGGTTTTTTTTCCCCATGCATCACACGGGTAATCAACTAGTATATATATATATATGTGTGTGTGTGTGTGTGTTAGAAACACGGTCATTAGAACAAACGAAATTAGAATACTCTGTTTAATCAAATTCCAATTTTTGATAATTTCAGTTTTTGTTTTATACTCTTTTCCCACCTATCAAGTTTATAATTCAAATTTAAAAAGTTTGAATGATATACATTAAATATTCCCCCCAATAGATATAATAAATAATATTATTAATAAGCTTAACAATTTTTTTTTGCAAAAAGTAATGAGAAACATTAAAATAGTCCGTAAAATACTTAATGGCCAACATCTTTTTACGATGCAGGAGTTGAATGGTCAGTGGTCACTGAATGGTCATTCATTTTTATAGTTATTAAATTTTTATATTTTATTTTATACAGAATGATAGATGTAATTTTTTTATTAATTTTACATATTATTCGAAAAAAGAATTTTTTTTATCTTTTAATTTATAATTTTTAGATTAGATTCATATATATATATATATATATTAAAAATATTTATGTTGTTTACGAAATATATATATATATGTTAATTGATTTTTTTAAGAAAATAGTATTTTTTTATGCAGCATTAATATGGTTAACAATTATCCATGTAGAAAGTAATGGAATAATGTCTGCAAAAAAAAGTAATGAGATAGTAAATGAGTTGTCTGCCACCAACAATTTTTCAAATGTTTTCCCACCCTTTAAAATTCAAATTCAAATTCAAAATTCAAATTCAAATTTAAAATTCAAAATTGAAAATCAAGATTTCAGAAAGCAGTTAGATATTATTAATTTGGAAATTCCAATGCAAAAAGTAGAAGGACATTAAATGAGTTGTCTGCCACCAACAATTGTTAACATATTTTCTCAATTGAATTTAATTACAAATTTGATTTTATTTAATATTTTTCTTTTTATTATTTTTTACCAAATAATGAAAGGTTTTAAATATTTTGTAGTGTGAACATCAAGCTGAAAGTGAAGGAGAAAGCGACGCGTCAGCAAATTTGCCAAAGAATGACATTCCTTTAGAATATAAGATTTGTTTTTTTTTTTTTTGAAAAAAAGTAATTTTTTTTTTTTTTTGATAACAAAAAAGTAATTTTTTGAATTACACTGAATCAAGGTCAATAAAATTTCCAACTTTAAATATCTATCCATAAGAACCAAAAGATTGAATCAAATTTAAACTTTTTTAGATTTAAATCGTAGGTTGGGATGTTTTTAGTAGTTAGAGATTTGATTAATTCCTACGTTGAGTAAACAGTAGATTAGATGCAGCGTTTTGATGATAGATGTTCCCCAATACACCGTCTTCCAAATTCAAATTTAAATTCAAAAAATGACAATGTAGAAAGAAAAGAAAAGAAACAGAAAGAAATAATATGTTAAGATTTGTTGACATCTAAATTTCCAAAACGATATACTATCAGTTGTTAAGATATGTTTTTTGAATTATTCAATGAGTCAGATTATAATTTTTGTTTACTCAGTCTTTGTTTGAGTAAAATCGAACTTGTAAAGTTAAACATTTAAAAGACGAACCAAAACATAATCAAAGATTGGATTAATCATTTGATTATAAACATTTAAAAAAAACCAGTGATGAGCATCTCAACTTTGCGCAAGCAAATGAAATGGTTTAAACAATATAGTAAGATAAAAAAAAAATTGATGCCAATTTTTACAAACACAAATATAAATCAGAAAATATGTAACTCCTTTTCAAGCTTTATTTCTTTCGCAGTTCGGACAGCTGAAAAATTAAATTCTCCAGCAATAGAACAATGAGAATTAATCATTGGTGTCAACATAGTAAGAGAAACATCACCAACGTCAGCACTATCACAGGTCTGACTCTTAACATCCTATAGTTTTGTAAAAAAAAATAAAAATAAACAGTACGTCAAGATGTTATGAATTTTTTTTGTTCAGAACATAAATTTTAATTCAAATAATGGGCTACCGCAGCCTTTTCAGGTTCCGACGATACAATTTTGTTTTCGCGAGCAGTATCAAAATTTGTTTCCTCCTATGATATACAACAACAAAGAACAGCCAAGAAAAAAAGATTAAGAAAGTTGGACATCCAACAAAAATAAATATGCAGCCTACATTTGGATCGATCAGAGACTTAATGAACATTGAGTTTAGATCTTTCTGCTTCACATTTATCTTAAACAGCATTGACTTCTCATTCAAAACATTTTGTTCTTCTGGAAATTGATCCAAATCCGCACCCTATAAAAAAACAAAAAACAAAAAAGTAAAACAAAAGAAATAAAAAGGATACAAAATGTTATCAAATTCCAGCGCTAACAGTGATCAATAAACGACAAAAAAAAAAATATGTTAAGCATTTAATAGGATTGATAATACACACCCTCTTAAAATGTCGCTCGCGCGGTTCACCAGCAGATATTCCCAACAATGTAACACAGTCTCGATCTAACAGAAGAAATGATGCAGAATCAGTGTTATCCACAACTCTGACCTGAACACTAAATCTATAGTATTGCGAAATTGTATATCAGCAACAAATATCAACGTGATGGATTAAAGAAAAATTATAGACCAAGAACAACATATTACCTTGGATAATAATCATCCCAATATTTTTGGCAATTCTTACAGTACCACTTATCAAAATCCTCACAAACAGAAAATGGACATTTCTTGCAAGACTTGTACCACCAGTTGTATTTGCTCTCAATAGATTGTATAGTCCCATACGTGATGCATGTCGTAACCTTAAATACAGTCATCACACTAAAAAATGAAACACAAGAATACAGAGTTGATATAATTCAAGAAAAGAGATTAACAGACTTAAAATATTTACCTCACCACAAAGCTTAACATCACTGATAGACTTCTTTTCAGTCTCCTTAAGAAAATCATTTTCGAACGAATATGAGGACTGAGTAGACAACTGAGTCAACCTCATACTACTTTCCACACCATCAGTTGAAAGACTATAAAGAAAAAATTGTTAACACTGTAAGTGAATAACCAAATAAACACTATCAGAATAAATTATGTTCGAGAAGAAATATCACACCGTTTTTTGAACTCAACAATCTCTGGCACCTTTGAATCAATGACAATCTTTGTTGTGTATTTTGTATTGGTTAAACCGACCTTACCTATTAAATAGAAAAAATCGAATAAAATCATAATACAAATGTCATAATGGAAACAAAAACGATTACGACGTTATGAGTATAACCAATAAAAACAGAAAAAAAAAACATACCCCTAAAATATTTGATCCTTCCCAGCTGAACTATTAAGATGTTATGAGGAGTGTCGCTGTTTTCCAAAAATGATTGCACCTCATCCACATAATGCTCCCAAAAAGTGCATTCCAGCTTGTGACCCCTACATATGAGTTGCAGCAAGAACAACGTTACACACGAAACATATAAGCTAACAAATCGTTCATTTTTTTTGTTTTTCTATCTAACTCTAACATTTCAAATACCTCTAGTTGTCAAGCTCTAACACAACCATTTTCGTTTTCCTACCAGAAACTACACGTTCGCAAACTTCCCCAATTCCTGAAATTAAACCAATGACGTCTACAAAAAAAAAAAAGGGCAGCAAAGAGTTCGTAAAAAAAATGCAAAAATTAAAAAATGAAAACAGTTAGGAAAAATATATTACCCACTAAATAAGGAGAGTCAGATGATTCTTTCTCAATGATGTTATAATCAAAAAAAATCACATTGACTCCAAGTAAGATCACAATCAACAATCGATTTAACATCAGTCCTCAAGTTGAAGGACAAACGATACTGATGCTTGGTTGGCCTGAACACATCGCTATTGAATCAAACTCCAAATTTTTTTATAAAATATCACTCTCCTTCATGGATTTTCTTCCGCACCGGCAAAGAACCTTTGACAGTGGCGTGGATCCTACCACCCTACAAAAGAACGTAGCCAACCCCCATGAATAACGTTAATTAAAATGATCAGAACAAAGATGGAAGATTTAAAAAATGCAGACAACTACCTGTTCATCCAATAAAACCATTTCAACATTGTCGTCAAAATCTCTACATTGATAGTTCGGAACTTTCCAAGCCCGAACCACCTTCACCGTAATCCTCCAGTCCTCCTTGGCAGGATTGACATCCTTCAGAAAATCATATTTTGAAAACATATTCGTAAGACGAAAAAAGAGAGGACGAAGAAGCTATTTCGTTGAGGGTGTATGTTTGAACAGCTGACATGCGACAGAGGCAAAAAAAGAAAAAATGAACAAAAGAAGAAAATCGCCCCAAGCATTCGCATAGAATACATAGAAGCAGATGCAATTTTTAAATTTTTTAACAATTCCAATGGAGAAAGTAGCTCAACATTAAATGAGTTGTCTGCCACCATTCAGATTTCAAAATTTAAATTTAAACTTTCAACTACAAAATTCAAATTTAAATGAGTTGTCTGCCACCTACAATTTATAACAAATCTTGACTATTGATTTGAGTTATGAAATCTTGTCCATCGATTTTCATTGAAAATTAGATTTTCTTTTATATTTTTTTATTCACTGATTTACCAAAGAAGGAAAGTTTTTAAAATTTCGTAGTGTAACTGTAAATGCAAAGCTGAAAGTGAAGGAGGAAGCGACACGTCAGCGGACTTGCCAAAGAATGGGTTTGTCTTAGAATATAAGATAGGATTCATATATAATACAAACCATCTAAAGACTAAAATAACAAAGTCCTTGACAAAAGTTATCAAACAGTCAAGTAATTATTTTGAGAAGTACATAATCTTTTGTTAATTTTGCACCCGGCTTTTCTTTTATAATATTTTCAGATAATTCCTACATAGCTATAGGTTTAGAATGAAAATCATATAAATAACCTCAAATTAATAAAGAAAATGGATTAAAATGTAATTATATAAATATTTAATTTAAGCGGATAAATTATAATTCGATTCGGAGAAGCGGTAGATACAAGACACTATGCAATTTTTTCCATGTCATTTTTTAGTAGATATTAATACAAAAATCACATATCATATTCTAGTCATATTAGAGTGTCTAATTAATCTAATTAAAAATTATCACTCCTATATACAAAAAAAAAAAAAATTATCACTCCTATCATATATATATATATGCTAATCAATAAAGAATAATGATATACATAAAATAATAATAATGATATATGAGAAAAAAATGATTAATGCATATATGCTCATGCTTTTCATATTTTACATAAATGTTAATTTCTTAAATTGTCTTTCTTTTTTCCTTATATCATAATTCCTTAAATATAACAATGAGTTGAATCTTATCACTTGATTGTGATGTACCTTAATTCTTTATTATTAAATACCTATATAATAATAATAAGATTCATATATAATACAAACCATCTAAAGACTAAAATAATAAAGTCCTTGACAAAAGTTATCAAACAGTCAAGTAATTATTTTGAGAAGTACATGATCTTTTGTTAATTTTTTATACCCAGCATTTCTTTTATAATATTTTCAGATAATTCTCACTTCTTAACACCCGTAGTCAGGAAAATACTTTTAGTATTATGGATGTACCGATTACTCGGTATATCTTTTATCAAATATAAAAAAAATAATACATTTACATTTTCTTTATTTTTATAGTTTTTTTATTTCATATCTTTATTTTTTTATTTTAGTAAAGATATACCTATATATATTCGTTGTACAAAGATGAACTTCATCGTCAGGCGCTCTCCTAGCAATTATTTCTAGTAAAATTTTTTAAACAATCTCGGGTTCGAGTAATCAATTTATAACAGTGGTAATGCTAACCAGTTTATATGAGCCAGAAACTCAGATAGGAAGCCCGTACAACCATACTTAACGAAAGTTCATAAAATAGTTATTAGAGGATATTGTGTTTTGCATGACATGCCGATTATTCATTTGATCAAGATAGCAGAGTCAATGAATTATTGGTTCAAATATACATCATTGATTAAATCGAACTTATATAAAAATAAATAATAAATGTAATAATAATATTATTATAAATTATAATTGGAAAAAGTTTACAAGGATGTAAATTTGTATCATTTTAAGTGAGAGAAAGAGATAGATAAAAGAGGAGAGAGTGGACAAAAAAATATAAAGGTGTGGGTCCCACCTCTTTATGAGAGTGAAAGGATATAAGTTGTGCCATTTAAAAGGACAAACACTTTTTCCATAATAATTTGATGTGACTTAATAATTGGTATTACAAATTTGCAAGAACAATGCAAGGGAATAAATCCATTCATTTTAAAATTTAACGTCATATAAAATTTTTTGTGAATGATCCTCCTGAGGACTTCTTGACATCAAATTTGGAGGTTTGGCTTAGGAGAAATCTGTTGGGGGAACTGGAAGCATATTAAGGTTTTCAAGTGGTTGGGTATTTTCATTGCTATACTGTAGGTGTACATAAGATGTATCTCATGGAGGGTGAAGTATGTTGATATATGGGGTGTCCATAGTGGCAATGGTAGAGACCATGGCACTAGTAAAGTTTCCCATGGTGCATAAAGGGGGTGTGTGTATGGCAAGGATGGCTCTACCAAGTGGGCAGAGTAACAACATAGTAAAGAGTGGGGAAGAGGATCCCCCCTCCATGTGTGAGGGGGGTATTTAGAGAGGAGAGTCCTCTTTTCATGGGGGAGACCGTTGGTCAGCCCATGAGCTGTCTCCAAGCCATGTCTTATCCTTAGACAAGACATGTTGCCCACTGTCAGTGTACAGGGGCAGCAGTGCAGGGATAGGGAAATGTCCTAGTGGTGAGCTTCTATGACTTGCCATGAGTGTCGTCTAGAATGTTCTAGACAATGGGCTTGGGATATTGGACCCAACTGGTGGGCTTAAGGTGAGTAGTATCTAGAATAGAAGCCCTCCAGTTTGGTAGCTTGCGGGGCAGGGTGCCAAGATATATGGCAGCTTAGGCCGGATACCCGTAGTGTGTAGTGTTCCAAGCAGGATACAATGTAACCGATCGGTATTATGTCGGCCTTCATGAGTTATTTATTTGTTGTCATCGAGTATGAATTGTTTGGTTGGCTGTGCTTGAGTGCTTCAAGAGAATCTTCCATTATGGCTTGCAATTGTGTTGAACTTATGTTGTCTTCAAAGATGCGCCTTGTTATTGAGGAAGGACTTCAAATGTTGTTGAAGCAACACTAATTTAATTGTAAGAAAAAGCTAGCGAGCCCATGTTGAATCAAATAGCCTGGAGATGTTGACAACTAGAAAAAGAATGTCCTGATGATCTGATAAAATAAAGTCGACAGGATTGCAGATCCGAGCTTCGTGAGAAAATAAAGTAGTAGTTGAGATCTTATGGAGAGGATGATTTTTTCCAAAATAGAGAGTGGTTGGGTCTTCATAGATGATAAATATATATACTCCTTTCTTTAACAACAAAACTCGGCGATATGAATGTATAATAAATAATGCCCAGTGACTTGGGTCTTTGATGTCCGGTTGCTCCAATTTAAAACCCGCAACAACTAATACAGTAGTGTATAGATGACGATAAAAATGTGCCTAGATGGGACGTTGGCTAGACGCTGGCCATCTAAGACTTTTGCTAAGGGGTATCACATCTCGGACTTTGTTTACCGAGGGTGAGAACCGTCCCTGCCTTCACAATTAATTACCCGGGGTGAGAACCGTCCCGACCTGCGTAATTAATTACCGGGGGTGAGAACCGTCCCGACCTTCATAATGTACCGGGGGTGAAAACCATCCCAAACTTTGTTTGCCGAGGGGTAGCCCATCTCGGACTTTGTTTACCGGATGGAAAGGCACCATCCAGGATTTTGTCATATGGCGTTTTTGTCCCGGGCTACCGGTCTTCAAATATAGAGATACGTTTTTGTCCCGGGCTACCGGTCTTCATTATAGAGATACATTTTTGTCCCGGGCTACCGATCTTCATTATAGAGATACATTTTTATCCCGGGCTACCGGTCTTCATTGTATACCGGGGGTGAGAACCATCCTGGCCTTCATTGTTTGTTTAAGCAACTCATATGAAATTTATAATCAAATGAGAGAACATAGATGAACAAAGAGAATCATATATATGACGAGATGTTATTGCCGTATATTAAAAATAAAACCTGATAGTGTGAGTTTCTCTGGACACTTTGGCGTGTAGATGTTGGTTTGATAACTTTGAATAAGTTGGAAAATGCTGGTCTTCCTGTTGGTGGGATGAAATGATGGTCTCTCTGTTGGGCGGGCTGAAATGCTTGTCTCCCTATTGGGGGGCTGAATTGTGGGTCTCCCTATTGGGCGGGCTGAAATGCTTGTCTCCCTGTTGGGAGGGCTGAATTGTGGGTCTCTCTGTTGGGCAGGTTGAATACTTGTCTCCCTGTTGAGAGGGCTGAATTGTGGGTCTTCCTGCTGGGCGGGATGAAATGCTGGTCTCCCTGTTGGGCGGGCTGAAGTGCTGGTCTCCCTGTTGGGCGGGATGAAATGCTGATCTCCCTGTTGGGCGAGATAAAATGCTTGTCTCCCTGTTGGGAGGGCTGAATTGTTGGTTTCCTTGTTGGGCGAGATGAAATGCTTGTCTTCCTAATTATTGTAGCTTATTGTTGTGGTTGTGAAAGCTTTGAATTTTAAGGGGGTGTATTAGATTAGGATTTTAAAAGACTTTTTTGAGATAAAAAATCTTACAGATTTTAAAAGACATTCTAGAATTGGAGAGACTTTAAAGATTTTTTTAAAAGACTTTTTTACAATCAAGATTTCATAAGATTGAATTTTAAAGGATTTTAATAGAATTTATAAGATTTGAAAGGACAATATGGATTTATAAGATTTTAAAAAAACCGTATAAATTTTTAACAAACATTCAAAATTACAAGAGTCAATAAAAAAATAACAAAGAAAGGCAATGAAATTAATATAAAAAAGTAAAACCTAATATAATTTTCTCAATCAGTAAAATATAATATAATTTTTAACAAACAATCAAAATTACTAAGCAACAACTCTTTACATATCTAAAGTTATACTAGTCCTCCACGCATTAACATTTTCTCGTTCATGCTCTTGAGTTTGACCAATGGGTTGAAAATTATCTTCTTCATTTGGTATCAAAGCTATGCATATATGATTATAAAATCTAATTTTTTTAATTATTAAAAT